AAAAAAAAAAAAAAAAAAAAAAAAAAAAAAAAAAAGAAAGAATACGAAAGGCAGTTGGCCACTGTTTTCACTAATTCTGAATTACCTCAAGCTGCCAAGTACCGGAGTAGTCAGTTCAACGATGATACCTCAAGGCTGCCGCCCTCTTAGTTAAAAAAAAGGAAAAAAAAAGAAAAGGGGGGGGTGAGGGGGGGGGGTGAGGGGGCATACCCCCACTAGAAGCGTTGGGTTTAATGAACGACGCCTGAATCTGCTGGAGGTGTTTGTGGAGATGTGCGGTTGAGGAAACTCAATGCATGCGATTTTTTTTTCTGTACATCTCCACAAAACACGTCCAGATTCGGGTCTTCACGAAACCCGACGTTCCTACGGTAGTCCGACTTGGGGCCCGTATACACACACCAGACCTCCACATGCGGCGGAAGGTGACAAAAGTCACAAGGGAACAACAAAAAAAACCAAAAAAAAACAACAAAAAAAACAAAAGAACAAAAAAAAAACAAAAAAAAACAAAAAACAACAAAAAAAACAAACAGGAAAAAAAAAACGAAATGCTCAAACCTTGACGAGAACATGCAACAAACAAAACGAAAAAAGGGTTTCTTGCTCCTCTTCCTTTCTTTCTGTCTGTCTTTTTTCTTTTTTTTTTTTTTTGGTTCTTCCTTTAAGGCGATCTTGGGAGAAGCCCTTGAGGAGCGCCAGGCGATCTCGGGAGAAGCCCTTGAGGAGCGCCAGGCGATCTCGGGAGAAGCCCTTGAGGAGCGCCAGGCGATCTCGGGAGAAGCCCTTGAGGAGCGCAGCCTGGCCGAACAGCGTCGGGGAATTTGCGATGAAGGTTCTAATAATCAGAACACAGTGCATGCGGAGAAAGTCTTGCCTTGCCTTTTCTATTGATGCGTGTACGAGAAGCCGTCTATGGTTTGTTTTGTTTTCTCAAATAATCCTTTTCTTCTTCTTCTTCTTTTGCAAACCGCAAAAAAAAAAACACAAACGCAAATCGAATACAGTATGTCAGCAGCAGTTCCACACACCTGTCGCCTCATCATCTATGCTGCTCTTCCTCTGCAGACCCAAGTCGTCCTCCATATCTGTGCGTCTTCACCTCCGAGGAGACCCGACACCTCGCAAAACGAGAGAGAGGAACCTCCACCTCCTTGCCTCCCTCCCCCCCCCCCCCCCCCCCCCCCCAACCTCGACCCAACCCCCCCGACGCAACCCCCCCGACGCAACCCCGACCCCGACCCGGACGCAAAACAGGCGGCTAGAAACAACGGTACGGCTTTACGACCGATCACCGCCTCAACAATTCGGTACGCATAAGAAAGATGCCGTGGCACTTGGGACGCAAAACGGTACGGACAAATAACGTGAAAACAGCACGGATAAGATGATGTGGACAGTAAAGTGAAAAAAAAAAAAAAAAAACGGATAAGATGATGTGGAAACAGTACGAATAAGATGATGTGGACAGTGGAAAACAAAACCAAAAAATTATGACGATGACAGTAGGGGCGGATCAGAAAGATGACGTGGCACTTGGGACGGATCAGAAAGATGACGTGGCACTTGGGACGGATCAGAAAGATGACGTGGCATTCGCCGTGCGAGAGCCAACCACCGAGGTGGGACCTTTTCGTCTTTGCAGTCCTACGCTGCTGGCCTTAGGGCATACTCACATTACATTACCGGTAGTACTTTCCTAAAACGTATCTGACTTTCAATTACGACCACATTTGACGAATCTGACCGCAATCGCGTCCAGGAGCTTCGTAGAACAACCAAGTCCCAGCGTGAGTAATAAATGCCCTTAACCCCCCGTGCTACGCAGTTCAGCTTTTTCCAAAACAAAACAGCTCCCTGAAGGGCATCTGCGTGCCGCCACGTGTCACCACCGGAAGATAGCACGCCGAGCTGCGACCAGTATCCCGACAACTACCCTACCCTACCGTCCCGACCTTCCCCCAGCTCTCTCCACTACACGACGCTACCAGGGGCCAGGTCCCACTGGCGTGTGTTCTTCATTCTTGACCGCCGATTGTGGCGGGCATATACAGATCCATGGCCAGAAATGAAGAACAGCATCTAGTGGGACTTGGCACGAGGTAGGCTCCACCGTCCCGACGAGAACCCGCACCCATACTCTCCCTCCCTCCCTCCCTCCCTCCTCCGTCGGGGTACTGTTCGTTCGGTATGCCTCCCTCCCCGCCTCATTACTCACTTCCCGCGCGCGTTGAGGACTTCTCGGGCTCATGTGCATCGAGAGTCCGCTGATCGCGGTCGCCGACCTACTGATCTCGGTCAGACCACATACCGATCCATTCAAGGAGCAACTTAGCCCTGGCGACCGAGTCCTGCTACCGGTAGCAGCCTGACCGAGTCAGGGGGGCCACGCACGACTACCGGTATCCAGGCGCTACCAACCGACTTCCCCCGAGTAGAACGCATGCTCACTAGCCCTGTATCTCAACTGAGGGCATACTCATACTGGGACCTATAATCCCAAATTGCCCAAAAGAAAGGGTAGAGGGCCGGTCACACAGATTTGCCAAAATACCAAGTGTACTATTTGTGTGCCCATTTGTCCGCGGCCTGGGAAGCCGCGGGCCAAAGGGATTTGCGGTCACCTCAGGAGCATGGTTCCACTACCCGTAGCAAAGGAGTAAGGTAAACTGTGTCCCACAAACACCTATGGGACATCTGCGGGACATCGCCTGACCACTGATGCAGGACAATCCGATGGCAGAGAAATTGCGATGGATTTATATTCTGAACTGGTGTTTTTTTTTTGTGTGTGTGTGCTTTTTCTTTTCAGTTCCCAAGAATGTGAGGCCGGAAAAGAAAATAGAAAGACTCATTTTGATTGACAGCTCTTCAAAAAATCAAGTATTCGAAGGGCATGGTTTTGACCCCCTTCTTTTTCCCGGTCCATTGTAACCCCATCCAGTACTTGATTTTTCTCTCAAAATATATGAACTGCATGCTTCAGCATGGCAGCCATCAGAGAAGGGAGTTCCATCAGGCACACGAAGGGACTCCCTCGCGATGGTAAGCGAGATTGAAACAGCCACGTACCACTCTGTCCTGATTAGGCATTGGCTGGGTGGGGAGCAGGGGGAGGAGACGAAAGGTTTAGTGGGACGGCAGCACTTTAAAATTACTTTTCTTCCTTTTCTTACAGTGCCACACAGGTCCTAATAGGCCATGACTCGTGTACTAGTGGAACCGTGCCCCTGGAGGTGACCGCAAATGCCCTATTTATTTTTTCTCATTTTCTTTGAAAATTGGCGAGAATTCGTTCACAAAAGTTCTTGCACAATTTGCGGATGGCCCCGTGTTACCAGCAAAGTACCGAATCCCCATTTCTCCAGACTACCGCAACCTTGTCCCATCCGAAAAGGTACAGCAGTCCGACCCGAAGCATGCCCAAAACCTCAAATTGGCCCTTTCCCAAATCCGTATATTTCACGGATTTGGGGTCGCAGTGTGAGTATGCCCTCAAAGTTTATCAAATACAATTATAATGACCTCGTGTTTTTTTCGCGGGAAGATGGAAGATGGCAGTGGGAGTTGTTCCCGGTAGTAACGATCAGCTCATTTCCCACCAGTCTGCATTTGTGTGCACACCTGGAGCTTATGACATGGAAATGGTGATTGAACCCAAAACCTCATGAATGTCAACTTGTGTGCTTTACCAACTGAGCTAGTAGGCCTGATGCTACCGGCTGGCCCCTGGCCGCTATCGCCCACCTGCTGTAGCAGGTATTGCATCTGCTGGTGGGTGCAGGTCCCGCATGTTCCCTCGTTGGAGGCTTGAGCACGGATGTGGTTGCTACGGGGTTCCCCGTAATACTATAATGAAAATAAAAAAGGCATGAAAGGTCGTCCTATCCATATTTGACAGGTGATTCAATTGGTTGGGCCTTTGAAAAAAAAAAAAAAAGGCATGGAACACTGGACCTGCTAATGATCAGGTGGCACACACATGCATCCGGCCTCGCTCCACTATTCAACATTCCACATGCGTTGCCTTTCTGAAGCCGGTGCATTTGGAGGACCCCAACATTTTGAATGTATTGGGATGATTATTAGCTCCGGATACATGTAGAGTGTTGTGTACTGAAGCCAGACTCATTGTTGGCAAACAAAAGAAAAGTTCATGTCCTCTTCGTCATTGGTTCAGTGAAAAATCTTGGCAGACAAGGCCCATGTGACTAAATGGTACACACATGTAACGCAAACCCTCTTTCCAAAACTCACCATCATTTGTTGAAATTCATTGCAAGCAACAGGAACAGGCAGAAAGACACTTTCACTATGTGGTGGACGCGAGTACCACTCACTTGCCCTACCAAGGTGTTCCATGGGGGTTCAAAGTAAGATATCTCCATAAATTCACCCTCACAGGCCGAGAAAACTGTAAATTCCTAATATATTCCGACAGTGTGACCAACATTACGACCGACATTTTCGGGATGGTAGTGTTGTGACGGAGGTGGGTATAGTGAGGATACGTGTGAAGGCGTGTGGAACGCACCTAAATGTTGTATGGTGAGGGAACCCATCTATCAGTCAACGAGCTGCTCTTTTTGATTGTTTCGGTGCAATTTAAAAAATCTTACGATTCTTTGTGTTTTTTATTATAATTTTGTTCTCACGACGCGTGGTGTGTGTGACGAATGTATCAGGTTCTGACTACAACAAATCCTTCTTACCTATGCAATAACCAGTTCTTTTTGCAGCAGCGCTTGCTATCACTAATAATACGAAATTCTTACATGTTTCTCCAAAATCTTATGTAGCAAGTAATGAAGTCAAATGTTATCTGCTGAACTTGGTGGCTGGCGCATAAGGAACTGACGCCCCAAGTTTGAATCCAATAAAATTTTATGGATATAATTTCACAATTTTATTTTTCGAGTTTTTGTACGATGATTGCAATCAATTTTGTAAGGATTACTCTAACCATATGGTGCTTAAGCCTTTTGTTTTTACCGCAATATTTTAATTTTTTTGAACTCGCGAGTGTTGGTTTGCTATGCGGCATGCAATCATAAAATTCAGGCATAATGATTTTGATTTTTGTCGTTTTATCTTATCTCTAACACCACTTATTATTCACCGACTTTTCCTTTTTGCAGAACATGCTAGCCTTACACACTCATTCTTTGTACATGTTTATAGTTTTAAGTGCATCTTTAGTGCTATGTTTTTTCCAAACCTGATTAATTTTAAGTTTTTATAGGTATTTAAGTTTTTATCGTTTTTTTTGCATCTGTATTTTTTTTTTTTTTTCAATAACATTCTTTTTTTTTTCCTTCTAAAAAATATAAATTACTATTTTTTTGCTCTTTTTTTTCTATAATCATAAATTAATAGTATGGTCGATCTTATTTGTCCCTGAATACACGTAACTTGCTGGATATGCCAAAAGATAAGACAATCATAATTTTATTTACTTATTTTTGTCTAATCCCTTTAATAACATTTTTTTCCTTTCAATTAAAAAAAAAAAAAAAAAAAATCTTATTGTTTTTTTTTTGCTCCCTCTTTATTCTATATTAATAAGTTAATAGTATGGTCAACGACAATTAAACCGCCATTGTACCTAAATACACCTAATTCGTTAAATATGTCAAATAATGATACAATCACGATATCTTAAATAAATTTGTTGTGTTGTTAATCCAAGGGAGGTGAAATAATGGTATGTGTTTGTTATGTATAAGTGAAAAATTGCTCACGTAATGCGAACTTTGCCAAGTATAAAAGGTTTTTTGCAATTATAAAAAGACGAAAGTTTTATAAGTTAACATCAGAAGTAGATGTTAACAATGTGTTAAGCCACAAATCCTCCCAAAGATTTTAAAATAACAATTACGTGAGTTCCCTATAATAACAAGAGTGCATGGGAACCTTTAGCGTATTGGTTATTAGACGTATACCTCGGTGGACATAAAATTACTTGCGTTAATTTTAACAATATTTTTTTCGTTCGTATTGCATTAATCAACCTATAAAACTAATGGTGTGTTTGGTGACAGCTAACCCCAAACAGATCCGGAGTATTGAATATCATAAAATTTTTAATAAGATTGAAGTGCGGATTATCCGAGGAGAGCAATGAAATAGCATATCGTTAGTGTGTGTGGGTATTAAACTACTCACACAATGCCTTCTGTAAAATAGTTTTGGCTGCAACTACAAAAACAAAAAAGTTATTAAAGTAGGTTTGAAGAGCAAATATATAAAAGATTCAAACAAAAAACTGAAAAATAACGCTTTTACAAATGCACTTCGATGTAGGGAAGATCAAGTCTTTTACCCTACTAGTCGTGTCATAAGCACCTTACGTGAGGTATTTTATCCTGCTCTTATGAATGCATCTTGATGCAGGGATCGTAAGGTTTTTTATCCTATCGATATTTGTCGTAGGTTTATGACAATTTTTTTCCCTCTCATATTTTTACACCAATAAATTTGAAAAAAAAAAAAAAAACTTACAATAAGTCGATGATTTTTTAAAAGAAAAATAGGACAACTCAAAAAAACATTTTAAACCGTCAATTCCCCAAACTATATAGTGGCCGACCTGGACCTCAAGAACCAAGTTTCTTAACCACTATAGTCAGGACCCAGTCCTCAAAAGTGGATTCACCCCACCCTCGCAAAGTTGTAGTATACTGCTCGACACAAACAAAGACAACACCACACAGGCGCAATTCACAAACGCGACAATTCTTTCACAGTTTGCTTCAATCAGCACATTACCCCCGTTGGTACCTAACCCGCTTGCAAACACGAATCTTTATTTTCCCACAAGTTCACGTGCGCACACCAATTTTTTTTTGGGGGGGGGAGGGCAGCTGGACCGACGACTTTACTATTAGCGTACATGTTATAGTGTTGAC